TTTTTTTCCGAAAGCCCAGGTTGTTGTAGAGGTAGACAGATGAGGGAGGCACCAGGGGGTACCACCAGAGCGCTTCCGCCGGTGCTAATGCGCTCGGACCAAGCGCTTCGCGGTCGGTAACGACGGAGTGGCTGGCTGCGGGAGATACACCTCGAGATATCCGCACGGCAGTTTCGAGGGACCGTCACCTAGCCTTGCTCTAGGTCATTTCTATAGTGCGAGGACATGGAGGTTCCCTCGGCTTGGCACCCGGTAGACCCCAGGAGGACTTGAAGCTTGAGTGTTTTGGAGTTTGATTAGGTCAAGTAATGCGGACCGTTTTTCGTTTTGCTACCCAAAGCTCCTCAGGTTATTAAGTAGGTTGTTGAAGGTGTTGTAGAGGTTGGTGGTGATGGCGCTCAAGCGGGAGTACGGGACATTGGAGCAAGATCGCCCCCTCAAGCTCCTTTGGGGGGTGAAGAAGATAACTCAAGGCTTAGAGAACTGGTTCGTTTATACTATCTCGATGGGCTGATGCCCACGGACATCGACCTAGGCGAGATGGCGATTGAAGGACGAGAAGCAATGCTTCAAAGTCAACGTGGATTTGGACCAAACCAAGATTAATTGGCTGAAGGAACATACTGTCACGTTTATATTCCGAGCTGGAGCGAGATTCCTCCCGAAGAATGTCAATGACGATATCGTTCGGGCATACGAAGACAAGAAGACCAATGATGGCACTTTTGAGGTTGCGAATTTCAGTCGAGGCCGAGTTAAAATTGAGAGTCCAAACGTGATTTCGTATGTGGCGCGCTCCAGCGAAATCGCGAGATGGCTTGTTGAAAAAGGACAAGACGAAGTCTACATCGGCTCTACTCAATACATTTTCGAGTTCAAACCTTGGCTCACGAAAGCTCAGCTACGAGCCCAACGCCAAAGAGAAGATGAACAACACTTTTGGGTGGTAGCGGTGCAAGTTTCACTCGATGCTTTCTTTTTCTTAGAAGCACAAGTTAGCAAGACGATTGGTCTGGTCCTGAGATCTTTTCCTCCTGAGCAAGACCGAATGCGTCCTTCATTAGTCAACATCAAGTTCAAGATTGATTCGTCTGCAAGAGCAAGTATGAAGGATAAGATCCTCAATACTTCGGAAGGAGATACCCTCGAAGTGAAGTTGGCCTCAGCTAAGACACCAAAATGTCGAAGATGCCGAGCCTTCTTTCATTCAGAAGCGGAGTGCAGAAGGGGCAATCAACAAAACAATCAAGCCACTTTTTACTGCAGGGAATAACGGTTCACAAGGCGGTGTCAAAAGGGCGATCTCTGCTCAGTATCATGAACCTTTGGGTCCTCTCCCGTCCCCTTCTGGAGGAAATGTTGTTCATGCTCAGTATCAAGGCTCGCTGGGTCCTCTTCTGTCTTCCTCTGGAGAGAATGCTGGCCCTGCCCCAGCTTCTTCGCTATCAACGAGCATCCCCCTAGGGGCGTTGCCCTATGGAGGTTCGCTCCACAATAACTCGATGTTCTCACCAGGCTTGGCCTCTTATCCACCTGTTGGAGTCCCAGTACATCCGTTGATGCATAACAGTCATCCCATGATGGGACAATATTGAAATCTGTCGATGGCTATGCCTTGGCACACCTTGCAACTACCATATGAAATTTTGCAACATTCCGAAATTGTGCAGCCCTCAGCGTCGGCCTTCGGGCCGTTTGTTAGCCAACCAACCCCAATCGGGGGAGTGACTGTAACTTATTGCGACAGGAGTCCGACCATCAGGGCGGCATCTTCACCAGGCTTGCAGCCGACAGCAATGATCTATGAACCCCCCTCAGCGAGCATCCCTGGGGGCCGGTAGTCAGAGGTTAACTCTCCAAAGCCACGTAGCAGCCTGTCGGGTAAACAACGACGCCTGGACCACCAAGGCAGCTTCGCATCAGATGGAGGTAATCTGGAGGGGGAACCCTCGACCACATCATCTCATGATTCCGACACGAACACGTCGGTATTGGGTACAACAGGTACCAAAACGACTCGCAAACGGATTTCCGTCTCGTTGGCCAAAGGGCAATTCCAAGACATCGAGAATAAAATTTTGCCGCTCTTTTCCGTGGCTGTCCGAAATGCCTTTTATGCAATTGCCTTTAAAAGTCCTGATGGTTTTCCGGTGTTGGTAAGTTTGCCCCAGATAACCCGATGCCCTCCACTATCGCAATTTTGGTTCGTACAACCATTAAAAATAAGTTTGTTTTTCGTCTGATTCCCGATATGACAATGATCAGAATACCGACCGATAACCCGGACTAGCGAGGGAGGAAGATTAAAATTTATGTCCCTCTGATGGATGTTCGCTTCTTGGATGGGCAATTGGAATATCTTTAAGCCCTAGGTCTGCGTCTTATTTCTCTATCATGGTTTGTTGAAAGCAAGAGGCAAGAATTGTGTCGAATACGCATCCCACCTTTGAAATCTGCGGATTGACTGTTGGACCTAGAGGCCAAGCTCCCGAAGGACAAAAAATTAACTTATAATTTTGTCAAATCGGCCTTGACGTCAGCTTGGCTAATGGAGATTCCGTCAAACCCTCTGATCCAACAAAATTGGGGGGGACAACCTCCTCATGTCCAAAATTAGACTTATGAGTTGAAATCTGAGAGGCCTGGGTGGTTCGGGAGACAGATTCAAAAAGGATAGACTGAAGTCATGGATCCATGAAAAAAATATTTCGATTGTCTGCTTGCAAGAAACGAAATTAAATGAAGATAAAATTAACAATTTGGGTCGTTGGTGGGACGGACCACAGGTTTGGTCCCCTGTAAAAGGGTCGAGAGGAGGGGTGGGGATTTTGATGCATCGTAATCTGGAAGCTGAAATTATTGACTACTTTGTTGATCTCTGGGGCAGATGGGCTTGGATAAAATTGTGCATTAAAGGGAAAATGTGGATTATAGCCACTATCTACGCCCTTACAGATCCTCGCTCCCGCACTTCCTTTTTTGATGAACGTCTCTATATCCTCCTGCATGGGGATTTCATGATATTGGTAGGTGATTGGAATTCTTCCCTGTATCTGAGTGCTTCCCACCACGGTGGGGCGGGTTCGTCAAATAAGCACGCACTTACGAATCTTATGAACTCCCTGGAGTTGATAGACCCGTACTGATTAATCCATCCTGAGAAGGATGGTTTTACATGGTTTTCCAATCCAAGAGAGGATGTGAGGGTGATCCAAAGACGCCTCGACTACTTTCTCATATCGGGCTCTCTATGGGAGTCGATTTTTGATACTGCAGAACGATTGAACCCTCTATCTGATCATAAACCAGTATTCCTTTCATTCTTGACTTCTGAGTTAGTCCGTGGGTCTGGTCTGTTCCGCTTGAATACACAAAATATTCAAGATGCAGGCATGGTGAAATGGATGCCGCGTGACTTTTGGTTGAGCTGACAGTCTACTAGATCTCGGTACCCCAGCCTCTCAGAGTGGTGGGAGTCTGGGGTCAGGATTTTCTTCAACCTCTTGTCTGTGTTTTCGAGGATTTTGGCATTTCAGAGGAACAATGAAGAAATAAAACTTCAAAAGAAAATCGAATATGCTGAAACTAGAATGGTTGAGCACGAGGTTTCGAACTGGGTCTGGGTAAGGAGAGAGTCAAATTATTAACGGATTGGGATAACATTCATCAGAAGAAGGCAGAAATTTGGGCAGAGAGATCACAAACGAAGGGAATTACAATATATGACCGCATGACGAAAGAGTTTTTCCAATGACTCTTACCCAGGCGGTCCTCGACTCCTATGAGAGAATTGCTTCATCCATTCGATAACAACGCACCCAAAGCTAAAGATCCTATCCAATTATGTAACTATATGCTATGCAATATTACCAGGATATACTTACCTCTCGCTTGCATGACGCCAACATCGATTCGAATCTACACTTGGAGAACTCTCATTGGTCGAATACCATAGTTCGATTGTCCACGATGGGCCGTTTGGATCTGGACAGACCAATTACGGTTATTGAGGCACTTGAAGCTCTAAAATCCATGTCCAAGGGCAAAGCCAGTGGTGACGATGGATCACCAGTAGAATTATATCTGATGATCTGGGAAGAGGTGGGACCAACCTTAGTTGACATCTATAATGAAATCTTGACAGGAGCCTCCTTGTCAGAGAACATGCGTAGAGGGATAATCTTTGTCCTCTTTAAGAAGGGTGACCGTGCGGAAATACGCAACTGGAGACCCATCTCTGTTCTGAATGTCTCTTATAAACTTCTCTCCAAAGTTCTGGCGAGAAGGCTAAGTTGTTACCTTCCAGACCTGGTTAAACCAGACCAAGCGGCCTTCATCAAGGGTCGATCCATCTTCACGAACATCGTAACAACAGTGAAAACACTGGAAATAATCAATAACGAGGATTTGAACTGTGCCG